AAAGGATCAGGGATGTCCCACTGACCATTCCAGCAGCCCCATGGGATCAGGGATGTCCCACTGACCATTCCAGCAGCCCCAYGGGATCAGGGATGTCCCACTGACCATTCAAGCAGCCCCACAGGATCAGGGATGTCTCACTGACCATTCCAGCAGCCCCACAGGATCAGGGATGTCCCACTGACCATTCCAGCAGCTCCAAAGGAGCAGGGATATCCCACTGACCATTCCAGCAGCCCCACAAGATTGGGGATGTCCTACTGACCATTCCAGCAGCCCCAAAGGATCAGGGATGTGCCACTGACCATTCCAGCAGCCCCACACTGCACAGACCCTGCTGGGGAGCAGGAATGGGGTTCTGGGGTTCCAGAGGCTGTGCCACCATGTGAGGAGGAGCCTCACTGCAGGAAACCCAGCTGGAACACACTAAGGGGTGGGACTGAGCTCCTCAGGGCATCCAGCAGCAGCCTGTGGCTGGAAATGGAATTATTTCCTGCTTCTGCAGGAGCTGGTGAAAGAAAGGGACATTTTAGGGATCAGCACAATTGTTGATGCACACAAAAGAAACCAGCACCGAGCCTGGGTTGTACAGAAATCTCAAACCCTTCTTGCGTAACCTTTAGTTCCAAACATTTATAGAATCTTAACATCATTCTGGCCTGTAAATCCATCTGAGAACATTAATCCAACTGCTCACCCAGCACTGCCAAGGCCATCACTGCCCCATGTCCCCAAGTGCCACATCTTTTTAACCCTCCAGGGATGGGGCTCCACCAGGGCTGGACAAATCTTTCAGAGCTAAACCATGGAGTGACCACAGAATGCCAGGATGGTTTGGGTTGGGAGGGACCCTAAAGYTCATCCAATCACCCCAATATTGGGCAGGGACACCTCCCACTGTCCCTGGGTGCTCCCAGCCCCATTCCAGCCTGGCCTTGGCCTTCCAGAACAGACCCAAAAGCAGTATCTATAAATAAACCAACAATCCATGAACAGGAGGCCATCATGGACAACAGCTTTCCAAGACTTCTGCCCTCCAAATCCTGCGCTTTCCTGGTTCATTTTACTCTCTTTCTGCAGAAATCTGGCTAAAATGAGTGGACAAGTCAGTTATTTCAGATGTTGCAATGAAGTAGAGCCATCTTCTGCCACTGCCTTTGCAAAGTAAGATGAATGCTGCACTGTGGGTTCAAACTTCAGAAAGCCATTTGCAGGGTGTCATTTTTCATTTTGCCCAGGCAGGATGTAATGAAAACCCGACAAGTTATTGATGGTTTGGTTACCTGTCTGCCTTCAAGAAATTGCACAGGTGCTTTAAGTAAAAAAAAAAAATACAAAGAGTCAACACAATTAATGCCAAGCAATGATGGGAAGCATCCTTTGAGGTTTTCTTTTCTGCTGAAGTGTCACTGTGTGTCCAAAAGACACTGCTGGCAATTCAGCTCTGAAGTAATCAGGATAAAAATATCACCATGGTTTGTACCCTGGCACCAGCCTGGGAAAAAAGATGTGCTGTCTGTCCTCTTGCCATTTTCTTTCTGGCTGTTTAAGGTAATTAAGCACTAATTAGGAAGTTTGAGGCAGCAAATAAAGAATTGGAATTTATACAACTTTTTAAACTYGAGACATGTTGAAGGAATGGGAGAGCAACTTTTCTTGTTCAATTTTAGCATTTTTCCTCCTCAAAATGATGTAGCATCAATGTGAAGTTGTTAAAATTCCTGTTATTAAAATAATATTGTAATAGGGGGGTCCATAAATGGACAAACCTTTGTGAGGAGCCCCTTAGGATGTGAACTCTCAAGAAAACCATGGCTGAACTCTTTCAGACTTACTGAGCAGCTCTGAAGTGCAGAAAACAAAAAAATGAGGTGAGAGCTTTCTGCTTTTCCTTGTCCAGAATCACTCCAGCTCCTGGAGAAGAAATTCAGCTGTTGGTGACTCCCAGTGGCTCTGTGACAGCCAGGGGACCAAGGACAGGAGGGACAGGACCTCAGCTCCTTCCAAAGCAGCTGCAGCACCCACATTGGATCTTTATGAACAAATTACCATTCCCTGCCAGATCAATAACCATGGAGACACAGCTGGGTATTACCAGATCCAAGAAGCTTCCCAGCTCCAGCTCCCTCTGTCCTTCCTCCTGAGCAGGCTGGGATTTTAGAGAGCTCTGGCTGGGATTTCGGGGAGCTCTGGCTGGGATTTTGGGGAGCTCTGGCTGGGATTTTGGGGAGCTCTGGCTGGGATTTTGTTGAGGGAGGGGTGAACAATCCTGAGCCCCATCACTGCTCCTTCCCAGTCTCAATCCTCACCTTCTTTCCAGAAAGAAGGATCACTGGAGGTCACCACATCCAACCCCCTGATCAGACAGGTCCCCCTACAGTCCATAATTCAGGATCACGTCCAGMAAAATCATCCCAAACCAACAGCAAATACATCCCTTGAGCAATCCCATSAGCAATTTCATTGGGATGCTGTAACTAAACAGTGGAGGGACAAAACGACCCAGTTTGTGCCAGAGATGACAGGACCATCTCAGTCCTGATGTGAAACCCCACTGATCCCACAGCCACGGGAMAGCCCCTGTGGGTTTTTTGGGATGCCCAGCTTGGGGCCATTCCTGCCAGAAAGGCTTTTCTRGGAGCAGGGACACTTTAATCCTGTCTCACCTGCTCCTACATCCCCAGYGACCCCGTGAGGAGCAGAATTCACAGGATTGAAAACCTTTCCCACAGAGTGCCATTTCATTTTGGAATGTGAAGGGAAGATCAAGGATGGCAAACGATCTCTGTGCTTTCCCTACACATTCTTTGTTTCCAAACAGCATTTGCAACRCGTCTGTAGCTGTGCTAGAGCTGTTCCTATATAAAATTTACCTTCTGGAGTCAGGCTCCCCACATCATTTTGGCTCAGCCAGGCCTCCGAGGCAGGATTTCCATTATTATGGAGATGAAGTGCCTTTAATGAGTGCAATAATATAATTGTACCCCAGGGCAGAATTTCTAATAACACAATTGCACAGCTCTCAGCCACCAGTAAGAGATGCCCCCAGGCCATGGCATTCATTAGAGGTGCAGCACACACTACCTCAGCCTCCAGAGAAGAATGTGAAACCTAAACCCATAAAGCTTTTTTTTTTCTTTCACCGTGGTAATCTCTGCTATTGAATATTGAACAAAACYCTCTGCTTTGCCTCCTGGACAGCAGGAGCCTCCAGAGTTGGAGTCCCAGCAGCAAATGCCATGCACAGGGTCCCCAGGAAAGGAATTTAACATCACACAGTGGCTGAAGAGCCACAAAACCCCAGGAGAAACTCTGAAGCATTCAGAGCCAGCCCTGGCACAGGAATATTGTTTTTATCTCCACCTGGGACTGCAGGTGACACAGCCACACCTCTACAGAGCCACCAACAAATCAACACCACACATAAGCATTTGAACGGTTGGCTTTTGAATGAAAAAAAAAATTAAAAATTACTTGACCAGTCTGAGAAAGCCACCTCMAAGTCAGGTGTTAGAAATGCCAAATTAATTATTGACCCCCAAATAATTCCAGTCTGCAGGACACTGAGTAATGTACCAGAACTCTGCAATTTGCAATGGAGGCTTTTATCTCTTAGGAATTTATTTTATTTTTTTTAAATGGCTATTTAGAGCACTGCAGAGGCAAAATATTGTGTTTTTTGGAGTGCATCTTTATCAGCTTCTTGGCAGGGATGCTTTAATAGCACACAGAGGGGTGGGCACATCCCACAGTGAGAACAGGAATCCCACTCCCAGCTCCTTGGGATTGAACAGTGGCTGTTTCCCCACGTATTTGCAAGTCAATTTTGTGGAGTTATTAATGACAAATTTAGCTCTGATTGCTGGAAGTCCCAGGGTTAGTTAATGACAGAAATGGTGATTTTCAGACGTTACCTGTCGTTCTCTCTCAGGATGTCTTTTCCTTTCTTCCAAGAATAAGTAGGTCTGGGGGAGGCTTTCGGTTTGCACTCGATGATGACTTCACCTCCCACTTTCACCAGAGTCAACTTCTTCAGGAGAGTTTTGGAAAAGTCTGGACCGATGGCTGAAAGCAAARTCAACACAAACCAGGTCAGAATTCCCTCTGGAAAAAACAGAGTCTTTTGAACAGAGTCTGTTTCTCACCTACAGTTTCTGAATGATTGGACTTTATGAGCATGTGTGGATGGGGCAGAAACATCTTTCACTACAAAAAATACTTGATTTGTTTAAAAGTGTATGTGCAGCTAAAAACCTGAGAAGCCAGTAACCCCATCAGGCACATCTTACTGGGGCAGCACCCCTAGAACCACTCGTGCATGAGGAGTGTAAAATATTTCCTTTTTCTCTGTCATCATCATCACTTTATCAGGCAGGAAAATTGTCACAGACACAGAACCCATATAATTAATCAAGGAAATGTTCATATTTCCAGAAAGGTTGACATTTTAATGCCTACTATTCCTAATTACTGCATCAACTGGGTTATTTATTTTAATTCTAGGAAGGTGGGAGACACTGGCAGGGCCAGGTCCTGAGCCGAGCAAAACACAGCAAGACTTGTTTGCTCCAGGGYACAAAGTGCTGTGGAATCATCTCTTCTCCTGCCCCCAGGGCACACTGCTGTGCTCTGACAGACACTCAGATCCTCACTGAGGTGACCCCCAGCTGATCTGCAGCCCAGGGAACCCGGAGATGCCCTGGCTCCCACCCCAAATGTTTGTATGATCTGTGTGCTGGGACCTGTGACAGGCAGGGCTCTGGGGCAGTGCCTCCAGGCTGACTCTGGCACTGAAATCCCTCAAGACAGCCAGAAGGTTTTGCTGATATCAAGCAGGAAAATTATTTTTTTTTTTTTTTTTTTTTAAATATAGGAAGCTCGAAGCAAACAGGTGAGGTGGCTTAAGGGGTTTTGGAACAAATCTTGCTGATGGGAGCTTTGCTCTGTGTCGGAGCAGACTCTCCATCCCTGCTCCATCCCTGATGATCCTGCTCCATCCCAGCATCCTCCTGCTCCATCCCAGCTCCATCCCAGCTCCATCCCTGCATCCTCCTGCTCCATTCTTGCATGCCTTGTGCTCCATCCCTGCTCTATCCCAGCTCCATCCCTGCTCCATCCCTGCATCCTCCAGCTCTCAGCACCATCCCTGGCTCACTCATTGCTCCCCCAGTGATATGAGGGTTGAGATCCCCGTTCTCTGCATCCCTTCAGTGCTCTATGACAGGATCCAAAGCTCCCCTGCAGCAGCTGGACACAAACCCCAGCAAATTCCCTTTCCTCAGGGCACCTCATGTGCCTCAATTCTGTTGGGTACCCTTCCTGCTACCAGAGAGGTAGCACAAATAAAGCACAAATCCCACCCTGAAAATGGGATTTGCTTTATGACCCAATAGTGCTCCAAGCTCCTGAGTCAGAGTTCAGTGATCTCTTTATTTTCCAGGTCTGATCACAAGCAGGACTTCATTTTGGCACTCAGAAACACAGGTGGGACATTAAATGCTATAAAAGAGCCCTGAAAGCAGCAGTGGCTTTGTAAAGCACCCCAGAATTAAAGGAGACATCCTGAGGACATCTCCCCCCAATGCACTCAGAACCAAATGCATSATTTATATCATTATTAATACATTCTCACTTCTGAAATAATTTCTCAGRTGATTATCCTAAACTTATGAGCAAAAGAGATTTTTTGAATAACCCTGTTACTTCCATCCCTCTAATGAACAGTTTAGACAGTTTTTTGTGAGTCATTTGCTACGTTTTCTTGCTCCTGTGTGAGACAGAGGAGCTGCTCACTGTGGGTTTTATTCTGTGACGTTCAAATCATCATCATTTGACATTTAGAAACTCTGGGCTCATTTCTCAGCACTGCCACAACAACTTCCCTGTACCACTTCAAGAGCAATTAATCCAATTTATTCACTTTTGTTTGTCAAATGGGGATTTTAATGACCTTTTTTCCCACTCTAGGCCTACCCTTTGTTTTTTCAAATTGTTTTTTCAACATTTAGCCTGGAAACTCTCTGAGACAAGACTGCATCTCGAAATATGTATTTTAAAATGTCCAGCACCACAGGATTCTGCTTTCCTTTAAAGACTCCAGGCAAGATAATTGGCAACAATAATTGAGAAGAATCACCCTGAGAAAAGCTCGGTCTGTAATTTTCCATTTCTCTCTTTCACTTAATTTTGCTGTAAGTCTCACTTGAGATGATTAAACACCACTAGTAGCAAGTGCTTAACTTCAGGACCTTTTAAAATAACCATTTGAGCACTCAGAGCTGGTTAAAAGCTCCAGTTTCCCAGGGAGGGCTCGCAGTGTTGCCCTCCTTTGAAACTGCAGAGAAGAGGCAAACCTGCTGCTTTCCTTTCAAACTGTGCCACGTTAAATCACAGAGGCACAGCATTGATCTGCAGGGCACCACTCGGGTGCTTTTCCTGTGACACAAACAGGGCTGCAGAACCCAAATGAGAAGTTGGCCAAATAAATGGTCCCTGACAGGTTTTTCAGACCAGACTCTCCAAAATTTTTGGGTTTTTTTTTTTTTATGTGGACACGAGGAGCTGCAGGGTGCAGGGACACACTGGGAGTCCCCACCARCAAGGACTAAACCTCTCTCTTCTGAAAACACCTCCATCCTTCCCAAAGGTCCATTTTTACCAGGCTTTAAATAGACAGGAAAAGCATCAGTGAGTTTATTTCGATTTCTTTCATGTCTAATAAATCTCAGCATTGTGAAGTCTAATTTATTGAGCATTATTGTACCTTTCTCCAGCAGCAACATAGACAATACTTCAAATGAATTTTTTTTCTATGCAGGCTAATGATAAAAAATGACCAATAATTGAAAATCCCACAGCTGGAAAAAACCTTGTGCTTTGTTCTTCAGGAGAACTCAGGGAATGGTGCCAATGAACACTGGTTTGGGAACAATTAAACCACTATTTTCTAATCAGGAGTTGTATTTAACCCTCTGAAACTCCATCCCTGTGCTGATACTGCATTTTCCAGGCTGCCATTCCTACAAGAACAGGGTTTGGGACCTCTGGGATGGTCCCACCCCACCCTGCTCAGCCAGGAGCAGCTACAGGAGCTGCCCAGGGCCATGGCCAGGGGATGTTGGGGATCTCCAGGGACAGGGGGGCTCCAAAACATCTCTGGACAAACTATTCTGGCATCCCACCGACCTCACAGCAAATATTTTCTTAATTGAAGTGTTATTTCCAGGGTTTCAGTTGGTGGCCATTAAGAAGATCTCTGCAATCTCTGCTCCCTCCCCTCAGATGTTTCCCCACTTGGATTCCCAGGAGCATAAACAGAGATTAACTGGGAGGAGCAGAGCAGGTGGGCACAGAACTGGGGGTAGGGACTGATTTTTTTTAGGATGGGAGCACTCTGGTTTCCATCAGACTGGTGAAAGGGCTCTCCAGAGAGGAGTTTTGTCCTCTGCAGGATCCCCTCTGCAGCCCAGGAATGGGGGTTTATGGTCCCAAATGCTCAGGTTTCTCCAAAAACAGATTTAACCTTTTTATGGCAGATTTAACTGTTTATAGCAGGAGAGTGAATGCCCTTGCCATGCTCTGTCACCCAGAGGGATGTGGGAATACGGGATGGAGTAAAAACCATCTGCTCTCTGCTCCCCAGATCCTCACATTTCCATCTGACGCCTTCACAAACACCAAATTGTCAAAAATAACCAACAGCACT